CATGTCCTGATATAATCTGGGATTCCATCCATTATTATGTGATGGAGAAAGGGACATTGGGGGTGTCACTGCACCTCTCTTGATCTGATGTCCCCACCATGAAAATGAGAAGGTGGGGTTCGTAAGGGGTACCTCTCTGTGCCTCGGTCATAGGCACAGAGAGGTAAGGCAAATAGGGACTGAGTGAGAGGGGCTGGGGCTGTGACCAGAGTCATTTGTTACAAATAGCCCAGGAATAACGGAAATAAACCCTTTTCTTGCCCAGAGAAATGGATGGAAACATTAACTGCACATGTCAGTTAGAAAACTAGTTGTGCAGACTATTATTTGAAAGGATGCATTTCGTTAAATGCATTGATGACGTTTCCCCTCGATTTTAAAAATATAATCACAACCATACAGGCAAACGTGGCTACGTACTGAACACTTTGCTGCAGTATCACTTCTTTCTGAAGTTGTTTGCAGTTGGTCTTTTCTAAAACTGGGGGAAGTGGCCACTTTATGTGTATCTTCTCGTGTTGCAAAAGGAAATAAAAACACTTGGGACATTTCCTTATACACGTCAAGTATGAGTAAAAGGACAAAGGAAAAAGAATCGATAGATGATTTTGCTAATTTTTAAAAAGCAGTATTTGCATCCAACCTATATTTCTATGAGCTAAAGTAAGTTTGTCTCTTCAGAATTATTTCATGAATCAGATAGAGGCCCTGTCCTATCTTAACATTCAGGGTTATTTACAACCAGCAAACGTTGGTTTTTGTTACCTTCTAAATCATCCACATACCTCCCAATAAATCATAATCGTGTTATAATATTCCCTAGAGAGAGAAAGCAAGTAAATTTAGGCAATGGTACTAATTTATGTAATTAAGGATAAAAACTTAAATCTAACCCATAGGTTACATTCACATGTCTGATTTAGCACTTTTAAAATCAGTTTTGTTTGTATTGATTAATGGATGTTTGGAAATAGAATATACAGATTCATCCTTCAGTTTAACTTACATTTCCCAAATATGGTGAAATCTGTTGTTCAGCTAGGGCCAGAAACTTGTTTTCCCCCCAAAATGACAGTGAGTGAAAGTCCTGGCATGGTACTGAGCACTCAGTACTGAGTACTCTTCACAGAGCACCACCCTTTCTTTCTATCACAGGATTTACCTTTATCGATGTCCTTGTATGACAGTTTACAGAGTACTAGTTATTAATTAGGGTGGTGGTTATAAAAATATTTTGTTTTTTTATAAGCTGTTGTCAATTAAATATTAATCAGAAGGAAAATAAAGTCTTTCTGAAGGTTTAGCATACACTGGTGGATCCTGGAATTATTTTTGTGCCCCTTCCCTTTCTCCCAACAAGGCCAGACTACGTTGCTTCTGGGGCACAGACGTCACTCAATGTGAAGCAACAGAGATGGCGCCTGTGGGGCAGGTGTGAGTCTTGGTGGAAACAGGTTGGAGAGAGTGGAGCTGTGGTAGCTCATGCCCTCGAGAGGCCGATGTTCTCAGGAGAGCGAACAGACCAGCAGTGTGTCTGTCCCACTCAGAAAACCCTGTTGTATTTCCCCACTCACGTTCATAAACTACTGCATTTGGTTTAAATATAAGACGTCACAGATTTTAACTCTTCTATTTTAGGAAGACATTCCACTCTGTCGTAATACGTGTATGGATTTGGGAAGGGAGATAAATGTCCTCACAAATGTGGCTTAGAGCTGGTGGCATGTGACAGGATTGCAGATCATTTTTAAAGCCATCCCACTATTTGCCAGCAAATGATTTATTTGCACAGGTTTTTGATGAACTGATGTTGTGACTTGTCCATCGTTGAGTTCACAAAATACAGAACAGAACTTCATGTCTCACAACTAGGTAAATAAATTAAGACATATTTAGAAAATTTCAAGAAATGGATGTAACATAGAATTCGTCAGAAAGCACTATTTTATTGGTGTCATCGCTTCTTACAGCCATGGGAAAATGACCTGGAAGAAGAAACCAAGTCTGCAGACGATGTAATGATAGAGCCCACGTGCTCCTGGAACTACGTTATTTTCTTCAGGGATGTGAGCATGCAGATGACAACTCCTGCCTTTGCGTTGGGAGATCATCTCCATCAATTCTTTTTGAGAGTTTGAAAACCCTTCTTACCCTTCACTGTTATGAGGTAGAAGCTAAAGGAAACCAATGTCCCTTTAACCGGGTTCAAGAAGTGTACATTCTGCCCCAACTCCCGAAAGCAGTCCCCGTTTCGGAGCTGGCCATGGGCACTGTGGCAAAGCGCCTCCTTCTAGATGGCACGCTGAACTTGTTGAAGCTATTGATTTAGACACTCCGCCTTTTGAAATAATCAAGTCTTGAAATTGGACCTCGTGAGTGCCTAACCTTCCTTTGGAGAAGCTGAACTTTTCCCATAGGTTGATTTTTCTCAGAAAGAAAATAAAATATGTGCCCCCGCCACCCACTCTCAGGAATACCCAGCAAGCAGTGGTTCCAACCCCAAAGTGCGAAGGAGGCAGTTTGCAGGGCGAGCAGGATGCGGTGGATGGTCCAAAGTGCATGTCTGCCTGGTAGGGCAGCCTCAGCACCTGCCTGTCCCCGACCCTTGGTGAGTGGCCGCAGTGCTTGACATGGCCCCTGTGTTGGGCTGGGTCAGATCTGCCCATGCCCAACCTCAACCCTGAGCTTTGAGCAAAGGTATAACCCAGAAGCCTCAGGCACTGCCCAAGATTTGATCTTGGAATCTTGGTTTCCAAGATCAAAGACACAGTGTGTGTGAGACTTGGATTCAACCACAGACCTACTGGCTTCCAGGTTATGGGGGGAATGAGCACATGAGCAAAAGACATGGACCCCTGCTCCCTCTTTCTTTTCTCCGGGATTTCCTTTCTGTGGTTCCTGGAGACCACCCCCGCTTTACTATTCAGGGACCACCTGTCTAGCATGACTTCCTCCAGCCTGCCACTTGGTCAGGTAACAAAATCTGTGTCCCTGAGACGCTGACCTGGGCACAAAGGAGGGGAAAGGTCAGACATACTTGAATGGATGGGTTTAGCAGACACCAGATTTCCATCCTATCTCCAAATTGCACTTGAGAAATGCAGTAATTTTCCTTAAGATAAATTTTAACTGTTTCATTGAAAGATTTTATTATTTTCATAAAGCTGTGTTTCGGGAGGTAAAAATAATCACCACGCAATTCTAAAGATTGCAGCATTTCACCGATGTCTTGCGTCACTGGCCACTTTTCACGGACTCCATCATCTATTCGCCCATCTCTCGAGGGGTCCCACCTCTTTGGTGCTTTTGCTTCTGTGCAGTTGGGGCATTTCTTCGACTCTCCCCACACCCTCAACCCAACCCCCGCGCTGCCACAAGCGCACGTGGATGGCACGACTCCGCGGGACCTTCTGCCTATTTTCCCCTCTCGCAACTGGGCAGTACGCGCGTGGGCAGACACGCGCGGCGTCTGAGCCTCGGCTCCCGGCTGGCTGTCCGTCCACCGCGCGCCCCAGCCCTGCTCTCCAGCCTGTAGCTCCTCTCCGGGGCGCCGAGCCCTGGTGGCGCTGGCTCAGCGGGCTCTGTCTCCACCGCCTCCGCCGGGTTATTTCTTTCCAGTTCTCCCTTCGCTCCTCTCGACACACCCACCTTCCATTAAACAGATGAACACACACATGCACTAGCGCGCGCGCACACACACACACACACACACACACACTCTCTCTCTCTCTCTCACAGACGCGCACGCACTCCCGAACGTGCCCCTCTCCTCTTGGTGACTTTGCTGCACCGCAGAGGACTTGCAGCTGCTTGGAATCAAGAAACCCAAACCTTGGTAGGGGTCTGGGGGGTTTCGTCTGGGGTTCGTGACCCCTCCAGAACCAGGGTCATCTCATCATCCCTCGCCTCCAATGATTGGCAAGAGACCGCCCACCTCTCCCTGCCGCGTTGCTGGGGGAAAAATGAGGGCTGCTCACGCCGCAGCAGCAGGTGCCAGACGGAGGTGCGGCCTGGCTTTGAGCGCCCTCCGGTCCCTTCCGGCGGCCCTTTCCTCTATCCTGTGGCTTTTTGGGGTGACCCCAGTCTTCGCAGCACGGCGTCTCTCGGCTTCCCACCTTAGTTCATCCTTCCCTGTCCCCTCACCACCACCATCTTCATCCTGCGCGCCCCAGTTTGGGCTGCTGAGCCGGAGGCGTGGGGTCTTCACCTGAGCGCCCAAGAAGTCCGGGATTCCAGGGCCTAAGCGTGGCCCAGGGTCCGGCTGGCGGTGGGTCTGCGTGGCCCCGCCACAGCTGCGGGGGAGGCGGGACAGAGCCGGATGGGGGGAGCCGGGCTGCCGGGCCTGGAGGGACGCTCCCGCAAGCCCTGTCTCCGGCTCTCTGCGCAGTCCAGTCACTGTTCCTTCCTAATCATTTATTCTCATTTATGACCCGGGGCTTTTCCAGGGCTGTTTCCCCGGCAACTCTTCCCCCACCCGCTCCGAGTTGAACTTCCCGCGCGAGCCTGACCCTGTGGGGATGGGTAGGCGGTGTCTGTGTGTGTCTCGGGGGTGTGAAGTTCCGCGGAAGGTGATGAATTGCGAGAAGCCCGAGTCTCTGCTGGAGCAGTTTGGTGGGGGCGACCTCGGCTTCAGGCCGGAAGATAAACCGCGAAACTTTTCCAGCCGCCCAGGCCTCCGAGCGCGCCCCTGCTTGGTTTCCCAACGCGAGACCCGAGTTCACTGCAAAGCCGCCACCCCCGAGGACACAGCGAAACCGCTTGCTCCACAGTTGGAATGAAAGGGGTGGGAAAGAGACCGATTGCAACTTCTAGTCCTTCCAAAGTGAAAAATTAACCCCCAGAGGGGATTTTCACAGGACGGCTCCTCCCCCTTGCACGTCCTTTAGCCGGCTCGAGGCTCCGGCGCAGGCTTCCTCCCGGCCCCCTCGGCCCGGTGGCCCGGTGACGGAGCCTGGCCCTCACTCCTCCCCCTTCCTCCCCCCAGGATCCGGCGGGTGTGTTGTCCTTGCCAGGCGCGCCCCACTCCGCCATGCACCAGCCCCGGGGGCGCCGGCCCAGCGCAGCTGCTCCTTTCCACCCCGGCCCCGGGCTTCCCGGAGGGTCGCGCAGCCCCGGGCTATGACTCAGGCGCCCACTTGGTAACTCTGCCATCTTCCTGCTCCTTCCCCGCCCCACTTCCCCGCCTTCCACGCCACCCCCGCGCCCCTCCGCCACCCTCGGCCCTCCTCCCAGACGCCCACCACCCTCTCCTCTTCGCGCAAGATCTCAGAGGTGGCGCGGAACCCGGCCAGCCGATGACAGACCCTTTCCCCCTGTCTCCAATGCCTCAGCGGAAGATCCCCAAGGGCCGGACCGAGGAGGGCTGCTGCTGGACATCCTCCCGGAGAGGCTGCCCCGACCTGCTGCTCCTGGTGGATGAGCCCGGGGACTGAGCGCCCCCGCTGCCTCTGGCGCCGCGCCGCCACCGCCGCCGCCACCGTCGCTGCCGTCGGTCCCAGGTCCCCGGTCCCCGGCTCTGGGCGCCCCAGGGCTCTCCGCCCGCGCCCACTGCCCGCGCCCTCCTGACAGCTGCGGCGGCGGCGATGATGCAAAGGAGGAGGGCGCTGCCGCCGGCTGCGCGCAGGGTGGCGAGTGGCGCCCGGGTGTGATGCCAGCATCATGGTGGGGATGCTGGCTTCCCAGCGGTGACAGCGAGAGAGAGCCGGGGCGGAGGACGCGCGGATTCGGATCTTCTGCGGTGTGGGCTCGGCTCTCGTCCCGCCCCTCTCTCGCTCCCCCTTCATTTTGCTCTGGGTTTGCATATTTCCCATCTCCCGACTCCGTCCTCTCCCCACCACCGGACGTCTTCCCGTCTCTAAATGGAATTAGTGGAGCTCGGAGCCTCTGGTGTAACGCACAGACATGATCTATGGACGCAGCGTGTTCCACAGTGAGTACGGCTCCCGCCACGCCGGTCTCCTCCCTGGTGGCCGCTGCGCTCCCGCGACCCCGCAGTCCCAGCGAGTCTGGGCCAGGTGTAAACTTTCTGTATTGCAGCAGAATAGCACGGGGCGTGGGGGGCAGGGGGCGGCGCAGCCAGTCGTCCCTGGGTCTCTGCATCCGGCGGGGGGGAGCAACCTTTCTGTGCGCAGGATGATCCCGGGGCCGGGGGTAGAGAGAGGAGTGCAAGGATGCGCACGTGTGGCGGCAGCTGGGAGTGGGCCGGAGGGAGGGCGCTGGTGGAAAGAGGGGACCGTTGGGGCCGACAGTTTGCGGGATGCTGGGGAATATTTTGCGGGATCCTGGGCTCCAGGGGTTCAGCGGGCCCACGCTTGCCCAGTAGGTAGTTTAGGGTACACCTGAACGCAGCGCTAGAGAGGAGGGTGGGGGCCCCCTCAACTCTGTGGCACAACAGACCACGCTCCTCTGGCTTCGGGGAGTGTGAGGTCTGCGTGCGGCGATGGGGGAGGAACTGGAGGAACACAGCAGCGAAAGTCATCAGGTAAAAAGCAACAGAAGACAGGTGTGGTGGACATTTCACGTGAGGAAACAAGGATTAGAGAGTTAATCCTGTGCCACGCAGCTGAAAGACCAGCTCTGCCGATCTGTTAACCGTAGTAACCGTAGTACGCGTTCCACAGTGCGGTTCCATCAAAACCGGGGGAAAAACCAGAGTAAGCAAAACACCAAACATAAGTCCTGATACTGATGGCTGTACACTCGGTGCTTGTGTGTGTGTGTTTGTGCACACTCATACCAGGTTAAAATAAGGCTTAGTGCTGTGTAAACACACACAATAATAACTAATGTTTTGTTCTTAAAGCAGACGCAAGCAGGCTGGAGCAGAGTCCTGTAACCAGTGCAATTCACAAACACTGACACCAAGGCCCAGCTACTTTCTCTGGGAATAATCTTGCCCCTCACATTTGTCAGCTCCTGTAGTCGGCTGCACTTAGGGAATCCTTGTGAACTTCATCCTCAGTTCCTCAAATTCATTTTAAAGAGAAACATGAGTGTACATGTAGTGGAACCCTGAGATTTTAGGTAACTGGGCCAACAAAATAAAAATAAAGTAGGAGAGGAAAACTCAGAAATGAGAAAGAGCACGTCAGTCTTACACGTTTCTAGTGTTGTGTTTTGTAAAGGTGTTGGGTGGATCCAGGCTGTTCCAAGTCACAGGGAAGTTCAGGTCACAGTGGTCTTTGTTAAGTGACAGAGCAGAGCCTCTTTGAGGCTGAAAAACTGACTCAGTGAAATGCTTGTAGCAATCACCTTTAAAAATTAACCATCTGTTCTGTGAAACACTAAATCTTAAGTCCAAGTCCAGGTTAGAAGAGATGAATTGTATAGTTAGAAAATGCTAAGGCTGGAGCTTACTTGGTGGTACGGTGCAGTTTTATAAGGGACATTCCTACAATCCTGCTTAGTGCCTCCAATCCACAGTCATTTGTTTCCCCTGCTCCCCTCCCCCTCCCACCGGAGAATCTGCCCAGCGTTTGTTTTCTCAAATACAAGAGCGTTGGGTGCCTTAGGGCCAGGCCCAGTCTGATGTTGCTCTCTGTTTGCTTCCCCTTCTCACCCTTTCACCTGCGGCCCGAGCTCCCTCCCTGCGGAGAGGCTAACTAGCAAAGCCACTCACAGAGGGCAGCTCAGAAATGGGTGGGTCCTGAAATCCTACTGTAAGGAGACATTAGTAGATTCTTAGTACTTGTGCCTCTCAGTGCGGACTCCAGCCCTGGCCAGAGGACTTTGGTTCTCATCTGTGCTTCACTGGCATTACTTCCGGAAGCGATTCCTAAGTTTTCCTGATGGGTGCATTTGGAATCAGTTCCCACACAAGTTCGGAGTCAACCTGGAACCATTAACAATAATAATATCAGTCTGCTTTGATATTTTGTCCTTGTAGATACTGATCCTTGCAGCGTATATTGGTACTATCTTGTCAGTCTGTGCATGTGTGAGTCAACTTGGACCAGTGAACAATAATAAAACTAATCTGCTTTGGTGCTTTATCATTAAGTTAGGTTATGGATTTTGATCATTTTGGTGTATGTGAATACTATGTCTAATTTTTCTTTCCCGTTGCAGTTGTAGCAAGTTTAATCATCCTCCATTCATCTGGGGCAACCAAGAAAGGGACAGGTATGTTTCTGGGGAAAACCGTGTGGGTGGGAGACCTCACATTATTTACATTTCCCCACTTTCCTCTTGTTCTTAATATTTCAGAACATCTGAACTCTTTTTGTGTGCATAGTGAATTGGTTTTGACTAAGACAACACTTAGACATTAATTTACTAATGGATATTATAAGAATGTCCTCTCTATTTTTAGTTCTGTAGAAAATTGGATGATGGCTCTTTTAAACATTTTTTTTTGCAGAAAAGCAAACCACCTCAGAAACACAGAAGTCGGTGCAGTGTGGAACTTGGACAAAACATGCCGAGGGGGGGGTGTTCACCTCTCCCAACTACCCCAGCAAGTACCCGCCCGACCGGGAGTGCATCTACATCATAGAAGGTGAGGAGCCAGGGGAACGGGCCCCTCGGGGCTGCGGACGGGCAGTGAGCATGCATCTGTAAAGTCTGGGATTAAACTAATGACTGAAATTAATACGGGTGAATTAAAAACAGGTACACTCCAGGAATTAAAAACACACGAACAACTTAGTTTACCCAGCAGTCAATTTACTTAATTTGGAATTCCAAATTAATAGAATGGACGCATGGTTGGCCTAGTATTACCAACATGTGGCAATTTGGAAACTAGTACTTTACTAGTTTAACACAGGAGAATAACCTGAACAGTTGTTATTTTTCTCTTTAATACTATGAAGCACAAAACACATATGAATGTCAGAGACAAATCACTAATCACATTTTTCAAACACCAATCTGAACGGCAGTCACCTGAGTTCATGCTAATAGGTGACAGTATCATAATTTCACACCAGAGTCAGATTCCAAATTATGATGGCTATTTTCATCACTTTCTCCCAGCTGGAAAGATAAATTGTACTGAAAAAGAGGCTAGTTTCTCTCTGGACATTTTTTTGCCATCACTCTTGTAGACACATCCCTAGTAAGGAAGATTCTAAAAAATGTAGACGAACATTTTATCTCGCAGTAGTTTTCAGCATAAGGGTTAGTAACTCACACCCCAAACTTGCAGCCTCATCCCCATCCTGATGCAGACAGTTGGAAGTCACAAGCAGAGCGGCTTCAGTGAAAATATGTGTACGCTCAGCATTTACTTATAAATAGGAACACATTCATTGGATTGAGCTTGTAAAGAAAACGTCTTTATGTGTGGCTGATTTCGAGAATTTCTATTTAGAAGGGATTCCTTTTCTTTTTGTAATTTCGGGGCCAGAATCTGTCCTCTCTCCTTGTTGTACTTGAGGTTGAACTTTTAGCAAAGATCACTTTCTACCAGGAGAAAGAGGAAGACTTAGCTGAGATCGCTCTTATGAGTGATGGAAAAGGAGGTTGAGTTGTGGAAATTCTGGGTTAAAATTAGTGGTTCTTTTTATTAAGTCAAGAGCACGTATCTATTCAACAGATGTATGTTAAGAACTTTAAAATAACATGGATTAAAACATTGGGTATCATAGGAAACAGGTACATTTGTCATGCCTATTTCACAGATGAGGAAGCTGCGGCTTAAATCCACATAATTTGTGTATTGAAGCAACAGTCTTTTAAACTTCAGAGTGTTAAAAATACAATGAGCTATTCTCTCATTTAAAGAATTAATTCAGAAGCAAATTCTTACACGTCCATGAGCTTTCGTGTTTACTGTTATTTAGAATTAAAAAGCAGTGCTCACATTTGATTTTAATATCACACACATATTTGCATTCAATTCCCAGCGATGGGAAGGACAAGACTTAGAGTTGGGAACTAGCCCGTGACTATTAAACATACTTCTTCTATAGCCTTTTGACATACTTTATGCTAGTCGTTTTTTTTCATATGTTGATTTAACAAATATTTATTGAAATGACTACTAAGAAACAGCCTCTGTTCTAGGTGGAGTGTAGAGAGTGCTGAGCAAAACAGGTGCGATGCTTGCCTTGTGGAACCTACCATATGGCCTGAGGACTACGGCCCCCTCGGGAAACAGTCCAAAGTCCCCAAATTAGTGCAGTGTGTGGAAGGACAGGGAAGGAAGAGAAGGCTCTATGGAGGGGAAGAGCTCACAGGTCATCTTTGAAGAACACAGAGGAGATGGTCGTTCTCTCTGTAGAATGGCACGTGTGTTCATTGAGATGAGGCGTGCTCAGGACCCGAGTGTGACATCACCGGGCCCCTGCAGCGGGTGGGGACAGGAACCAGGCAGGGGCTGAAGAGGCAGCCTGTCTCAGGCAGAGCAGAACTGGGTGTTCCCGCGAACACCCAGTTCTGCTCTCCCAGGAGAGTTTGAATTGCAGACAATGGGTTGCCACTGAACTAGTTTAGAGAAATAAAAGGGTGAGGTTTTGATGACGTGACTAAGGGAAAAGAACATAAGTTGAGACTTACTGTGAAAGACCAAGTAAATACTGGGTTGGTCAAAAAGTTTTTTTTTCTTGTAAGATGTCTCTAGTAGCACTTAATGGTCTTTAACATCATTTAAACAATTTTGTTTGATTGCAACCCAACAGCTGTAACATCAGCGTGCATTAAAAAAAGTTATCAAAATTGGTATATTTTCTGTATAGCCATTTTAGTATTGAAGAAGGAAGACAATAAACAAAACTTTTGGTGTATTAGGCTTTATTATATCAAGAAATGTTTAAATGCACTGAAATGCAAAAAAAGATTTATGCAGTGCATGGAAAAGGTGCTGTGATTGATGAAATGTGTCAAAATGGTTTGTGAAGTTTTGTGCTTGGAGATTTCTTACTGGATGATGCTCCTTAGTTGGGTAAACCAGTTGTTGCTGTAGTGATCTAATTGAGACATTAAGAACAATCAACATTATACCATGTGGGAGAGAGCTGACATATTCAAAATATCCAAATCAGTATAGTTATTGGTGAAAATTTTTAAAAAAACTTGTCTTTTATTTTGTGGAAAAAGACTAACTGGACTTTTTGGCCAACCCAATATGAGTCACAGTAAAGGCTTGGACCACAGAAATAATGATGACAATGGATCAGAGGAGGAAAAGAGTGGTATTCAGGAAACTGAACCATGAGTGACTGGATCTGGGAATGAGGGACTGGGGAATCCTCAAGTTTTTGACTTGGTGACTTGTTAGGTGGAGTTGTTGTGCCAGATAAGAAATATAGATAGAGAAAGAGGGTTTAAAGGAAAAACAATTGTGTTCAATTTGGGTTTTTATGGAGACATCTCATAAAGAAATTGGATAGATGGATCTTTAGCTCGGTGGAGGGTTCTGGGATGAAAAAATGTATTTATAGGTTGTAAATATAGAGATTGTTGCTGAGGATATTGCTATGAATAAAATTATCCAGAGAGAGTATTTGGAGCACTGTTTTTTAAAAAAATAGAGACACCTAGGTCCATCCCCAGACCTTTTGATTTAATTGGTCTTAGAGCCATAGGCATCTTGTATTACAACAGCTCTCCATGGTGATGGCAGTGGCACTCAGGGCCCTGGTCCCCAGAGGGAGGAAAGAGGACATGAAATATCTAGAAAACAATGGGTAAGGGGTGGGCATAGTAAAGAGAAGGAAAAGCCAGAGAGGCAGCAGAGGGTCCTAAGCAGCTAGAGTGGACGAAGTTTCAAGAAGCAGGGAAGGGCCAAAGAAGCACTTGCTACAGCACAGGAAAACCAGTCTCAGTGTGTGTGATCTCATTGACAGCGTGGGGGTGGAGCCGGCTAGTGTGGGTGGAGCGCTTGGGACTATTGATGGACCTTCTGTGGAAATGCAGTTTCGGTTTTTCTTTGTCTTCTCTTCTTTTAATGGGGCAAATTGTCATATTTAATTCTGTAAAGGATTGTCTGCTCTGTAGAGAAGGGTGAATTTAAAAGACAAGACAGCTCTGGCTGGTGTGGCTCAGAGGACTGAGTGCTGGTCTGAGAACAAGAGGAGGCTGGCTCCATTCCCAGTCAGGGCACAGGCCTGGGTGGTGGGCCAGGTCCCCAGTTGGGGGCGTGGGAGAGGCAATAGATCCATGCATCTTTCACACACTGATGTTTCTCTCCCTTTCTTTCTCCCTACTTTCCCCTTTCTCTAAAACTAAATAAATAAAATCTTAAAAAGAAAGAAAATAAAATACATGACAAAGAAGGATAAAGATTCGGTCAGGTTTGTTAAGGGAAGAAGGTAAGTTGTGTTCGATACAAGTGCAACCCCAGGTACCGTGGATGAGGATGTGCTCCAACCCCACCCAACAGGAGGCAGTGTGCAGATGAATGTCTAGGCAAAAGCTCTCAGAGTTCTCAGCGTGTCTGAAGATGCTCCGAGAGGTCAAGAGCTCTACAAAAGTAGGCTGTTAGGTGGCAGACGGAAAGTGTTCCAGCGAAAGGCAGCTGTGATGGGAGAAATTTGAAGGGGAAGGAAACGCAAGTTTAGGGAGTTGGATCTAAACCCAGCTGCTCTAAGACCAATGAAATCAAGAGCTCTGGGCATGGACCTAGGTGTCTCTATTTTAGGGCTCCTACTGGTTGACATGCACTGTCGTCACTTTTGCATCTGCGACAAAAACTACATGACGCACTCACAGATGACTTTCTAAACTTTAGTTGGTGGTTCAGGTGCATGTGTGTGTAGTTAACTTCCACTCTCTGGACCGAAGGAAAATGAGCCGGCCACGTGCAACGTGGCCTGAGCGGAGCCGCGGTACTGGCTCGTTTCCTGGAGGAACAACGATGCGCTGGTTCATCCACGTTGGACAGAACTTAAGTGACGATGACAGTGAAGGTGCAAACACATGAACCTGTGTTAGGTGGCCATGTACTTCCTCATAGGGAAAGAGGTAGCTATGTGTTGACTGGTAGAGTTTTAGCTAAATTAGCTTTACCTCTCCCTAAATATACACTGATTACTTCTAAAAAATATCCTCTATTCTGACAATCTGCTTCCTCATGAAACTTATTGACTTATCTAAGAGAGGTAAAATCAGGCACATTCTATAGGATAATAATACGTGTAAATGATACTTTGATGTCAGTACACAAATAGATTGAGTTTCTTAAGCATTTGCCTTTTTGTTATCATACTTTGTTGGGGGCAGGGTTTACTAGATAATTTTTAAAGATATTTTCCAATTTGCAGATTTAAAGACAATCATTGATACCTTCTCAGCGTCGATGGTTATGGTATTGATCTTCATGAGACACATTAGTGGTAGACAGAACCCTTCTGGGTTTCACTTATTGTAAGGGTGATAAAATGTCTCTTTTCAATGTCCGAAGAGTCAGGTCTGCATTGACCTTTAACCCACTGAGCGTCAGTTTTATCTTTCGAAAGCATCAGGATTACATTCTTATTTTGTAAGTCCCTAACTTCAAAGTCATCGTCTACCTCAATTCCACGTAAATTGTTGACATCTGCACAGGCAAACTTTCATTGTAAAGCCGTCGAGGGTCATATTCAATGCAGAGTTCCGGTGCAGTGTGGTGGGGACAGCAGTCAGGCAGAATGATTACTGACCACATGTAGGGGTGGGGCAGGCCCGGCTGCACCAGGACTCCACTCTCAGGGGTCTGGAGGGGCGGTCCCTGCTGAGAAGCACTCAGAGGGCTCAGGTCAACAACTGTTTGCAAACTGAGAAAAATGTGTGTGACTATTTCAACAACTGTTCTGGCTATGCTGGGGTATCCCGCCTGGAGTGCCCTTCCAGAATGCCTGAATGTTGAACTGTGTGGACGCTACAAGGGAAGAATAAAGGGGCCCTAGCAAATAGACCCGTGCAGAGCTTTCTAGAACTGCCCTAGATGGCCCCTCTGTGATGCCTCGTTGAGCTGTAAAGAGATTTATGGAGACAGCAAGCTCCTGTACAATTCCCCCAACAAGGACTGTTTTGACAGGTCCTCACTAACAAGCACCGTGCTGAGCGCTGGGAAAAGGGGAATAGAGGCAGTCTGCTCTTCAGTGAGTAGATTTGGAGAGGTCTCTCTTATACAAGATTTGCCTGTACAAACGAGTTAGCAAGATCAGAGGTATTCAGATACTCAGGAGAGTGGGCAAATACAGGACAGCCTGAAAGAGCGTATTAGCTCAGAAAAGATGGTCTCTCTGCAGTGACTTGGGCTGCAGGCAGAGCTAGGAGGACCTGGAAGTGGGGGCGGGAGGGGGCCCTTAGGATCCCGAGTGTCAAGGGGTTGGATCAGTGCCCTGGAACTGATCAGAGGATGTGAGGAAGTTTGCATCTGCGAGGGATGTGGTAAGATTTATGTCCAAAGAAAAATTGCTCTTAAGGCCTTGTATGTGCAGCCTCCTCTTCTTGGGGCCATCTGGTTGGGATTGTTTGACTGGTTGCGTGACTTCTGCTACACCTTTCTCAGGTGGTACCCGACCTCTCCACCGGGTAGCCCAGGAAATGGGGAAAGCACAGTGGAAAGGTGCTTCTCCACTTTCTCAACCCGAGTGGGAGGTCTTCCATGAAAATGCTGTCATTGTTTAGTGCTGTGTGAGACATCGAGATAGTCACTTGATGTCAGAAGGATCTCTTTTGCCATGTCTGAGGGTCTCCCCTTAGACATCTTCATGGAAGCATTAATTCTCAAAAAGCTAACAACCGTGTACTTGCTTTGTGTATCCAATACCTGGAGCTCAAAGTGTGATGGGTGTGCAGGTAAAATTTGCAGTAGGATCAGAAAACTTAAAGACTTCGGAAGGGCCTTCTGGATGTGCTTTTTCTATTTTTCAGCGGCCCCAAGACAGTGCATTGAACTTCACTTTGATGAAAAGTACTCGATTGAACCGTCTTGGGAGTGTAAATTTGATCATATTGAAGTTCGCGATGGACCTTTTGGGTTTTCTCCAATAATCGGACGTTTTTGTGGGCAGCAAAATCCACCTACAATAAAATCCAGTGGAAGATTTCTATGGATTAAATTTTTTGCTGATGGAGAGCTGGAATCTATGGGATTTTCAGCTCGATACAATTTCACACCTGGTGAGTAAAGTCTTGTTTTTTCCTTTTATTTTGTTCTTTGTTGGTTTAATATCTTTTTAGTATAAGAACTTTTATAAGACAGCTTTATAATTTTTCAAAGAATTTTCCAGCTCTATCAAAAAGCAAAGCTCTCTTGTTATTCTCACAAATTCCAAAAGGGAAGTAAGTATTCATGAAGTCTGAGGGCGAGGTCAAGTGCAGTGGCTTCGGGGGCTGGCTGGCCAGGAGAAAGACAGTTAATTACACAGATTTCCATTGTTCTGAAATGTGTCATTTCAGAGACTGTAATAGAGAAACTAATTACACATTAAATCCCAATAAACTGGAAAAGGCCACTGCAGCATTGTAAAATGTATCCATCAAAATGATCTTTGGGGACTTTGAATGAAAAATTCGTTTGTTCTGAAAAGTCATAATTTTTAAAGCAAATGGATCTTGGGACAAAGCAGTCTAATCTCTTTATAGAAATGCAAATCACTCAGAGTTGGGATGAAAGGAAAACTGAGACCCAGCACAGGCAAACGCTCATCTGCGAGGCCTGGCGGTGATTATGTGTAATTATATAATTGCACATTCCACGTCAGCTCCCCTTTTAACCTGCGAATGTTGAAAAGGGTTTGTGATGTTGACAGGCTCACTTTATGACGAGTTATCATTTAAGACAGGAAAAATTGGTTATCACCGTTTTAAACTGCAAGAATGTCAGGCTAAAGCAATTCGACACTTAATGAAGAGAAGTCCTTCCTTTTCATGAAAAAAGAAATCAAATTACATAAAGCACATCATTTAGATACAATTGCGTGTTTTTCCAGTTTGCACATACTGTCTTACTTAGGTTGTAGCAGGCGATAGATGAAGTTAGAATGTATGTACAGTGTGTTGAAGTTTCTATTTTGTGTTGCAAAGGCAGCCTCCCAGCAGGGCTGGGAGGTTCAGTTCAAGTACTGAGTACGTGAAAACCACACAAGATTAATGATGCCGCTCACTGCGATAGTGTGCTTTACGTTGAAGAAGTTAGAAGGTAACTGTATCATGTATATCCACCTGAAACGTTAGGGATATTTTTATAAGGCCACTAGGAGATTGTGGCTTTAATCGTGCTTTGCTGATATTGTGTAGTTTACAGAAATCGTGGGTGTTTAACCCATGGCGCTCAAACTCACCTGATGTATTCCAAAAAGGTGCAGAAATTCAGGTGACATTATCTGCACCAGAGACGCAAACAGAAATATATATATTTTTTACTTAACTGATAAGTTTGAGTAGAACCAGGGCCTAAAGAGAGAGGAGCATGGTATGGTTTGAGCTTTTAGAATTTATATTTTCATCCTGGAGTTGGGACAAAGGCAATAATGTCCAGGATTAAAAATTGTGGTTTCATAAAGGAGGGAGGTTCAACTAACCCAGTTTATCAGCATAAGCAGTGGGGGGTCGGGGGTGGGGGGGCCTTGGGGCTCTGCCTGAGACCCCCTGAAGGATACAGGGCCCCGCCCCCTAGTTCAGAATGGCCACCTGAGTCCCTGACTGGGGCTCCTCACCCCTCCTTCCCTTGCAGGGGTGTCCATCCTGTGGCCCAGGATGGCTATGAATGTGGCCCAACACAAAATCATGGGTTTACTTAAAATCTTTTTTTGTTTTTTGCTCATGAGCTTTTGTGAGGGTCTGTATTTAATGTGTGGCCCAAGACAACTCTTCTTCTTCCGGTGTGGCCCAGAGATGCCAAAAGGTTGGACCCCCCTGCTTTAGAGGCACCTCGAATTATCTAGAGGAGGAAGCTTCATCACCAGGCACAGCTGAATCGGGGAAATCCCAGGAGATGATTTCGTGAAACTAAGGAGGGATGGGGGACTGACCGAGGCTTCGATTTTCACTCCCATCGAGGGGAGCGGACTCTGGGCAGAGGAGGGAGCAGTGGGACCATCAGGGGGAGATTTGTGAACCTCCACAGCAGCGGAAGCGGATGCTCCGCAGCCCTGGGCCTCTGCCTGAGGGCAACCTGCACAGGCCTCTGTCCCAGAAGCTGCAGAGCAGAGGAAGCCAAGTGGGCAGTGAGTCAGGGAGGGGGCGGGGGTGAGTGGTGGTGGAGGCGGCAGCTGGGGAACTGGGAGTCAGGCAGGGCCAGTTCGCCCTGGCTACGTTTTCACTTGGTAGTAGGCTTCAGGCAGGAATTTGGGGAAGCTCCCCCGGAAAGACACTTTGGAGTCAATGTCATGATGTAAGTTACAGGGCACAGCCAAAGTCCCTGGGGGCGGCTGGGTGGCCTGGCCTGGCGGGGAGGTGAGGACTCAGATCCGGGTGCCAGTCCTTGGCTTTCTTGTTTCTCACTCGCTGTAAAGTTTGCACACAATCCTTGACATTCTGTGCTTCAATATTTTACTTGTAAAATTTTTATTTGTAAAATCGAGATAATATTGACCACCTTACGAAAGTGCATTGATTGTCCACCAATGTGTATTGGCGAGTTTATTCATGTCCAGTACGATCTGAACTGTGGTCAGCCATTACTCTCACTAATTGGACCGCTTGCCCTTTAAAAGCAGAGGAGGCTTGGTGGGTGCAGATTATTAAGTGGACAGTGTCCCTATTTTTTTTTTGTAATTTTTTGCAGTTACGACCGCTCTGGCCCTGATAGGCCAAACGCCTGTGTCCACGATGCCACCCCTTCTCATTAGGTTGGTCTAAGTGCATCTGGACCTCTGCCTGGGGGTCCGGTGGTCTTTGATGGCAGCCATAAAATGTGTCGAAGCAGACAGGGCCGTGGGAAGGCCAGGTGGTCTTCGTTACCTTTGTGAATTTACCACAGTCTGCAATCTGGGTCTTCACCTCCCAGCCTCGGAAAATGCACGTATCCATAGGAGTGATTCACACGAGTTATCCAAGCTAAAAAGACTGGCTATACATATATGCACGTATACACTGATACATATACATATCTGCACATACATAAACAAGTACACGTTTCCGTAAGAATCCTTAGAATCCCGCAGCTCGGTTCTTCTTATGAGCAGCCATACATGGGCGTGCAGATTATAACCAGAAGGTGGATGGTGCGGGTGGAACACAATCACCGAAGCTTAGGTGACGTGCTGGCGCGGTGGCATCCAGCCATGGTGCCCAGCTCTCCTCCACGGCGCGGGTCAGTTTGTCCAGTGGTGCCCTGGGTCTCAACCCTGGTGGTCAGCCCCCTTCCCAGGTTTCAGGTTCTTCCTTGCCAGACCAGGATGCTCATTCGTGTCAGCTCTTATCGTAAAATGTGTTTCTGACTCTTACTTAGTATCTTAGTGAAGTCAGAGAATGTCCCTTTGACTTTCTTTTCTACTCAACTTGAAAAAAAAATGCCCCTCCCTGGCTCCTGGGCTGCCGGTAGCTCTGCCTCCCAGCTGCTGGCCAGGGGAGCCGGCCAGCGGGACCTGGATGGAGGAGGGTGGAGCCAGGGAAGGCGATGCGGAAATGCAGGGCTTTTCCTGCATCTCCTGACTCATTCTGAAGATGCCTCACTGAGTTCAGGAATTGTGATGGCTTTTGGGTACCCTGTGATCACCCAGGTCCACTGGGCAGTGATGAGTCACCAGTCGATGGAAGCAGAGTGAGGCTGAGCAGTGAACGGCAGCCAGCTGGTCAGTCCTGGGGTCTGAAGAACTGGAAGGGTGGGGTGAGGCTTAGGGAAGGGTCGGGGGCCCAGAGCCCCTGTGGGGAGGGACCTCTCTTCTTCTTTTGTGAACAAAGTCGTGTCCAGACATTTACTCAACAGTACACTGTCCCACTCCTGAGAAGAGGTGTTGAGTTCAGGATCACTGATGATGTAAAATGTTATATGATGGAAAAGTTGATCACCCACCGGTAATTAATAGGAAAATGTCTAAAAGTGCTCATGGTAGTAGAACAATATTGTTTTTTCATCTTAGGACAATTTTTTTCTTAAAAAAGATTTAAACCAAATTTATTATATAAAAAGGAATGGTGAGAAAATATTTGTGCCCTGGCTGCTGTTGCTCAGTGGATTGGCTGGCCTGTGAACCAAAGGGTCGCTGGTTCAATTCCCAGTCAGGGCACAGGCCTGGGTTGCTGGCCAGGTCCCCAGTAGGGGGCACACAAGACACAACCACACATTGATGTTTCTCTCTCACTCTTTCTTCCTCCCTTCCCCTCTCTCTAAAAATAAATAAATAAAATCTTAAAAAAGAAAATATTTGTGATGAAAGTACTTTAGTAATACTAGAATAATAGTCACCAAATAGGATTACCTGAGACAGGAGCCATGAAGGAATGAGGAGGACTTGAAGGGACCAAGATCGAGAAATACTGAACATTTATCAGCATCATCAGTTATGCCTTAATTTTTGAAAAAATGATACCATATTACTTGTGTAAGTAAAGTTATTTAGGATAAAATATCTAAAAAGAAAAAAATACGAGAATAGGCAATTTTAAAAAAAATTTCTAGAAGGGAGAACTCATTTCTGCGTATTCTGCAATTTTTTTCATACTCAAAGAACAAGTTTTGAGTAGAAAATAACTTTCCCCTGCAGCCAGCTGCCTCCATGGCTCAGTTTTCTCTGCCAGGTGGAAATATATAAACTATAGAGAGGACATGTAGCAGTGTCTGTCCCTCTCCATCCCAGTGACACAGCCAGGGACTTTGTTCAGTATTAAGAAAGAGGAACACCCAGGTGGACACTGCCTGTTCTTGGGGAGAGGAACCCGTTCGATGTCTTTAGGGACGAACGTCATTTGTTTGCCCTGTGTCCTACTCCCTAATGGGGAGACTTTCCGCTGCATGCAGACACAGCGTGCTGTGCCACGGAACCGTCCTCTCTGGACGACACGTTTTTCTGAACTAGTTTTGCGAAACAAAGTTATACACAGCCTGTGGGAGAACTGTGATGTAAAGTACCAAGTAGGTAAGGCTGAGTTCGATGTGGCATGGAAGTGAATGAAGCTGTTAAATAAGTTGAGTTTCTGATGTTACTTTGTACTTAAATAGCACCTTTCATCTGCGG